AATAACGATTGAAGTGAATGTATACACATATCAGTAGCAAGGTAAAGCCATGTAGAAGGGAACGGTAGTTTTTTTTTTGCGCCAATAGCGGCGTATGGGACGCATTCACAGCGCATGCATTTTGCATGCGATCTCACGAAATTTTAATGAACCCCGTTCTGTCCCAATAACCCTCACCAAAATATAAAAAAGGTAAGATGGGACAGAGTTATTCGGTCTAGGGTGGGGCCTACTCCCTAAACACGCCTACTCTCTTACCCTAATCCTAATCTTAACCCCAGCCCTAACCCTAACACTAATTATAAACCGACTCGGTTCTCTTATTATACGCTCGGTTTCATATATATACGCGAGTGATAGTACCAAACACTATCTATGGTGTATTATTGCATAACCACATACGCAACGCATGTATGCAGGGACGTCACAGCCGTAGGGCTGCCGTAGTAAAACGCTACGGGACCCCAGCCTAAAGGGCATAAAATAATCAAAAATCTAAAGGGTAAATAGCATTTTAGAGCGTCTAGATTTAAAAATTGTCTTTGAGATCCCCCCTTCACACTTCCTACCTACGCCTACGGCACTCGTGCCGTGCGCCTGCAAGATGCAACATAAACAGCGCATGCGCAACAACTGCTCGGACAAATAGCGCGTATGAACAGGTGTCCGATGCTCAGACAAATATCCACGTCGATATTATAACATTCAGTATAAATACTTATAATTATTGTTTTGTGTTTATTAATTCGTGTACTGGCGCAAGATTTGTAAACATTTCCTTGGCATTAAAATGTTTCGTGGATTCATGTGCAGTCATGAACAGTAATTAACACTTTCTATTTTCTTTACAGATGTGATGCCTTCCGTTTTCGAAGGAGCAAAGTTGTTAGTAAATAAAGGGCTCAGTAGCCATTTTCAAATTAGCCATACTATCAGTATGGGCAGTGTACAGCCCAGCGGTTACAGATTTGGTGGCACTTATGTTGGAACAAAACAGTACTCTCCGGCAGAGGTAAATGCTTATTATATACTGTATGTGAATTGCGCGATTTACAACACTAACGTTGCTCTAGCTTTCAGAATTACTCAAGTAACTTGGGTGATACTCCATTAGGAGTGTTCCCAACTTTAATGTCATTAATGGTCATAACAACACATATATATATATAATTATATATATA